CAATTATTACCAAAATTTGCAGCCAAAAAATTGGTGACTATTGCAGTGTTGTGAGGCGAAGCCTCGTCTTGTTGAGAATATATTTTTCGGGGCTATATAAGTGGCAATTCATCAACAAGGGGTTCAATATTTTGCCTTAAAATTTCTAAATACCTCTGAGATGTGAAAGTTCCATTATAAATGAACAGGCCGATGATTCTACCCCTAAAAACACTTGCCCAAACACTAAATACAAATATTCCTTGACTTCTGTGGTCCACAATAGAATAAGGATTTTGTTGATCCGCATTGCTCACATTAAGCTTCGTCTTTCTAAACCCAATTTAAAAAAAATCACTCACTTGGTTACAACTCACCTGAAGCTACTGCGGCGTTCTGAGTTGAACTCTTCTGGTCCTGTATGGCTTGAATTTGCGTTTTTGTAAAATATTCCTAACGTTACTTCTTGGTTAGTTCATATAAATTTGACCTTTTCTTTTCAAATTGACCACCATCAATTGGGTTGTATCGCGATCTTGCAAAAATGTCTCAGAAAGGTTGTCTTCTCTCTGAATACTTCTCGTGATACAAAATGCTTGCGGTTTGTATAGGTAAAACAGTAAATATTCGTTTTGAGGGCACCCGGCGATTTTGAAAAAAAATTTAAGTCTACCTACGTATTTTGATGCGTAGATTACGAATCCGACAGAAAAAGCGGCGCTCTCCCTTATTCACAAAGTTACGGTCCTTCAAAGTTCAGAAAAGGGCAACTTTTCAGCCTTCGTTTTCACAAGATAAACCATTTGAAAACACAAGCATTAATTCAGTAGGTCACCTTTACACCTTATTCCTCCTTCTTTGACACTTTTCACTTCAATAATCAACATTGTTCCAATAAAAATGTTAAAAAATGTACGGAGCTGCTTTTTGGTTACATATCTCTGTATTTTAATTCAAAGATGACTCTAACATCAAGTGCGCTACATTTTTGGAAAGATTATTTCAAAGCTCTATTGAAATATGCAGGAATATACAGGGTGTCTCATAAAAAATAAAATAGTTCTCCATCAATAATTATTGATATGTTATTTGAAAAACTAAGCTTTTACATGATTGAATTCTACGTGAAAAAGTGCTTTGGTAAATTTTGACACCTTTAAGTTTGTCATAAAATTTGACCCTTAGACAGAACCATCAGTTTTCATCTATCTAGTTTGAAAACAGGAGTTTCCCTTCAAAAGTGTCCAGTTTGGCCCACCCTGTACATTGTTAATTATTGCAGTTTATTATATTCGTTTGAAAATGTCCTCATACGATGAAACTGCACTAACGTTTTTTTTTGGGTCCCTTGGGAGCTGTCTGACTTGTCCATTTAGTCCAAGTCTCCAGAAAACACTGCATCCTCTTGGGCTTATTGCGTTTGTTCTCCCGTCTTCTCATGACACCCATTCCATCAGTCTCGTTCCCTGTACTAGTTTGTACAGGTTCCGTGTTGGATGCTTGTCATATTCTTCTGGACGTAATTTTGTACGTCCATATATTGCCTGCCTCCTGCGATTCAGTGCCTCTCATTCGCATAAGATGTGTAGAGCAGTTTCTATCCCTTCGTTGCATAATCTGCAGCTGAGGCCTCCGTTGTACAGCCCCATTTCATTCAGGTGTCCTCTAAGCGGGCAATGACCGATTAATAACCCTGTAATTATTCCGAGCCGATCCCTACTATATTAAAGTAGTTCTTCAGATGTTTTCTCGGATGGTCCCTAATGAAGGTTCTACTGTGTTTGTTGCCAAGTACTTTTGTCCAGTACTCTGTGTGCTTCTAATTGGTCTATGTCCTAATCTAGTTTCGTACCAATGATTTTGGTACCTCCAGAGCTGGTTCAGGACCTGTATATGAAGTTGATGATCCGTGTCTAGCGCATTTATCAGCTTTATCATTACCTGTGATTTCTGAATGTCCTGGCACCCAGTACAAAGTTAAGTTGTTCCTGTTTGCAAGTTCATTCAGTTCTTCATGTCATTCTCAGATCAGTTTTGATGTCACCTTCGGGTTTGCGGCACTAACGTCAGTTACATATACAAGCATAGGAAGTTTTCATTCTCATTTTTCATGATTATCTTCTACCAAGTATTAACAGCTACATCCGTCAATTTATTATAACGAATATAAATGTGCATTTCAACCTTATACAAATTCCTGCAGATGATAAACATTTTTTTCAAGTAATTTAGTTCTACAAAGACCTTGATTCCCTGATTATATTCATGACTATGGTATTTGTTTACAACTTTTGCCACTTCTCCAATAGCTTGAAATAGTTGGCAATGAATTTATAGTCTTTCCAGCATAACAATCAAGTTTTGGAGCAATATTTTCAGTGTTTAATTCGAAGGTGGGCCATTGATGAATCGCTTTTTGGCGATTTCTGTGTTGGTGATTGTGTAAGATTGTATTGTTCATTTACATTAATGGAAAACAACAGTCAAGACGAAAAGCTATCATCTTGCATGTTTACTCATGTATACAATGAACACACTGTGTACAGTTTGCTCGATTTAGATTATCCCGGCGGACTATTAAAGTTGTTTATGCCGATCGCAAACAATTATTTTGACTATGATTCACACTGAACACATAAAGATACGAGTAATATTATACAAACCAGGTGCGGTCCTACAAGTCGGGTTTTCTTATCTCAAGAATGAGGAATCAACATTCAGGAAGGTTCATATAGCCAGTATTTTGACACCTGAAGGTGCTGTTGTATAGCGAAACACGTGTAGCCGGTTTGTAAACTGTCTAGTGAAAATCTCACATTGAGGTGTTTTTCAATACGTGGCAAAGTTTCGATTTTTCAAGGTTTTTCGAAAACACGAACGTAAGTTGGAAAATACTTTATAAAATCGGACAAAATTTACAACAGACACCTTCAGTTTCATCAAATTTCAATATACTTTGGAAATAAAGGTTAGGTTAGGTTAGGTCCAAAGTGAGCGGGTCTATTCGACCCTCCACCGCAACCCGCAAGGGTTTATTGTGGCACACACCCATTCGCACTCTACCAAATACACTCAGCTTCCTGACGAAGACGGTTACTTTGTATGGTGATTGGTCTTTTAAGTTAGATGGTAAAAGTACGGCTCTGCCAAACTCTGAAACCTCTCTACTCGGGAACAGTACTTTATAAGGCAGTTCGTAGTTGACAGTTGGACGCATAGAGTCAGGGTTTTTTCCAGTTTGTGTATCAAAGTAACTTATTTTGCAATTATTCACTTTCTTCCTTATTTTGGAAGATTCCCACACTTTTTGTATGAAGATGAAGATGCAGAAAGCCAAAACTGTCTCAAAAATAAGTCTCTCCTAAAAATATACCTCCTTCAATGTATGCAATCATATTTTAGTCTATTGTTAATAAAAGAAAAATTAGTAATCCAGCTAATGTTATTGTTCTGAGCAAAAATGTGACCATTTCCCAAGTAATTGTCTCAAACTCGTCATTATCATTATTTCTGTTCAGTATGAAGTTAACTCGTTAAATGTACAAAATTGAAGACAAATGATTTGCCATGAGAAACTTTTTGTCATCACAATCATTGTTATAGAAGGGAAAATTGAAATCACCACAAATTGATACTTTACATTCGTCAAATATACGAGGGTGGTAGAAAATTTCCCGACCTAACAAAGATATAAAACTGTTTTTTTTAATGTTTCTGCCAAATAATTGTTCACGAAGGTGATTGCTTCTTCATTTGATGATAATAACTGTCCTCCGAGAGCTACTTTTGTCTTGGTGAAACAGGATTTTCTTTCTGTGCATATATGGCCGTTTTTTCGCAAGTTCTGCCTTCAGCTTGTCAGATAAAGATGCATAGTATGCTACTGTGATGGTTTTTCTTTTTTGAAGATAATCGATCAAAATAACTTCATGACTATCCCCAAAAACAGTCGCCATCACTTTCCCAGCCGAAAAAACAGGTTTTGTTTTTTGGACGGTTCCCCCTTTGCCGTCCTCTGTTTTTACTGAATTTTTGTTTCGGGCAAGTTTCATCTACAGTGAATTTCACTAGTTCAGACTTCCATTGTCTACTATATAAAATGATTTGAAATCCCTGAAACAACTAAAAGAGAATAATTAAAAATGAATAGCTGAAAATAACAATTATATTAAACAAAATAAACCTGAAATGAAATGATAGTGAAATAAAATACAAGTAAAAATAGAGCAATTGAATAAATAAAAATGAAGAAATGAAAAAAGAAAAAAAATGAAAACTGGAGAGATTCCATGTCACGTTAGTTCTCGACGTTTCGATTGTTAGTATCTACAATCGTCTTCGGGTGATGACTGGACTGATTCCTCCGAGAGATGACTATTTATAGGTCGTTCAAGTACTTTCACTTATCCCCGCTTTCCATTTTCCGCTTCACTGGTTCCGTGGGAGATAACCCTTTGGCGGGAGTCGGTCACTTTTCGCTTGATGATGGGTTTCCATATGTTGCGTATCTCTACCCTAACTTGGCTGAATACGTTGTTGGACAACATGTATGCGGCTTCCCTGAATTTTCCTCTTTGTGCAAGATCTCAGCTGGGGACCACTACTGACCTTTAACCGTGCGCGCTCCGCCCTCTGTCTCAAAAAGGATCCAACATATTGAAATTTTTTGAAACACAATTTGTAGGAAATGTATTCCTCTACAATATTGATAATACGAATAGCAAAAAACCCATAGGAAACGAGATATTTGGAAATAATGTGCAAAAAATCGATTTTTGTGACATTTGACCTTATATTTTAATAGCCGCGTACACCTTAATATATGTATGTTTTGAGACAACGTAAAGTATGTCAAAATACGAGTTTATACGGATTCATAGCTGGGTATCTCTAATTCCCAGGTGAACTTACTAAGATGACTGGACTATAAAGTATATACGGCATTCGTGTTTTTCACTGAAACTAATGTCCCACCCCCTGTAGTATAAATACACATATTATATGTTTTGTTTTTGTTCCAGATGTTCTAAAACAATCCTCACTGCCGAACTTCTTGCCTAAATATCATGACTACAATGGTGGAGCTCGAAAGCTGGCTGATTTATCAATATGTGACTACCGAATGTAGCAATTGCTTGTGTGAGTATCCATTAAATATAAATGTCTTACAATTTATACTACTTCACCAGATCTGTTTGGAATGCGTTTCCCGTTTTAGATCAGCCTGAAACAGTGAGTCGCATTTGATGTTTTACATGTTCATATGCGAGCTTGCAGCCAGTTTTTTTCATTTTATTTCCACATTTTTTTATTTTATTTCTTTTTTATAGGACCGTTGGGTGGCTTTTTATTTCTCTCGGAAAGGTCTTAAATGTTGGATACAAGTGAGTTTTTTTATTTAATTTCATTTTTATTTATGATTGGTTAGAGGTTATATACTGCACTGAAAAATAATAAAATGTTTATCGTTTCTTCATATCCGAAAATTTTATTTTTCTACTGATGCTACATGACAGTGCCGTTCCAATTTTCACTGGAGTTTCACAATGATAGATTTTTGTCCACTAGTGGACTTTTTTTCAACTGTTGTGACTGAAGAAAGTTTACGAAATCGAGGATATTGATACAGAAAATTCATTTTACTGTTTAGTACTTTGGTAGCCGGGTTCACACAGGCATAAACTTTAGAGATGAGACTATTCAAGAGTTCCGAATGTCAAAATGTTAAAAAGGCGATTTTTTTTTTCAAGAACTCATACTTATAAATTAAAACTCGTAAACTCCTACCTTCCTTCAGATGTTTTCTTGGACAGTTCCC